CCCCCCCCCCCCCCCCCCCCCCCCCCCCCCCCCCCCCCCCCCCCCTCCTCCTCCTCCTCCTCCTCCTCTTCTTCCCCCTCCCTCTCCTCTGCTACCTCCTCCGTCTCATACCGCAGCTTCAGAGAATGCCTTTCCCTTCCTCTGTTGTACTTGATGAGGGCGGCAGTCATGATCCTGTCCGACAGGCAGCTGTCCTGACTTGAATCTATGCAAGAGCGTAATGTCGAAAACACGCGCTCCATGACGAGGGTTGCACGAGAGCAATGTCCAACACTACGGCGAACCACGTCGGGAGTTTCTCTTTGTGGTCCTGCCAGTACTGTCAAAAATCGTAGTCTGCGTCCGTCACGCGGGCAGCGACATAGTGGTCGTCCTTTTCAGCGAGAAGCTTGTCGACTTGTTGCTCGGAGATGAAGGGGAAGACGGTGAGGCTGCGGACTTCGATGGCGCTGTACTTGTGACGTCGCATGAAGGTGAAGTCGATGAGCCGCGCGGCCTCCATATACTTGAGTACTGTCGCCCGCTCAGCCCCCTCGTGAGGGCCGATCTTGTCGTATGCGTAGGTGCGCAGAGGGATGATGTCTTGGAACTCAGCCTTGAGAAGGTCGGCGGTGGCTCCCTGCATGTTGAGCGAGAGTGAGAGGAGCCGGGAGGAAGGAGGGACGGGACAGGCAAAGCGTTTTGAGTGGGTGGGTAACGTGCGGTTCTGTTCGGTGCACACTACCGTATATGACACAAGATGACACACCTCCTTGAAGCTCGATTTTTCAACTGCAGGAACAGTCACAGCGCCGAAAACGGCAGCGTTGAAACCGTCTCGTCGAGGGCTTTCCAAAAATGTGTTTCATTTATGCATCCTCTTCGTCGTGGAGTAATCGAGTTTTGATAATCGGTCCAGGGGGCGTGTTATGTTGTGTCATTTACGGTACACGGTTGTCAAGTAGTCGTGTACATGAACCGCTGGATTAAAATTAATTTACTTACTAAGTCGCCTCCCTGGCCAATGCTGGCGGCGATGACAGCGTCCAGAGTAGGCAAAGCCACGTCCTCTTTGAAGAGCCCATCCTTGTCTGGCTCGAGCTCGGAACGGAACTTCTCGATTTTGCTGAACGCTTTGTGCAGCTGCAAACAAAGGAAACGCGTAGGACACAGGGCAAAGACCATTAAAGAAACGGCAAAGTTCTCGGTAAACAAATGTACTTGTGAGTATCCGAATATCCACTCCTACTACATTACGGGAACCAGACATGACAATGTACGTACCAGTGGCTCGTCGCCTTCGAGGAAGATGCAGGTAGCGGTGACGATCTTGCCCACGTCCACAAGTACAGCCAGCTGCATCCGAAGGACGAGGACCTGATACTTGCCGTCGTCCCGCTTCCGAGCTAGCTCCGATCGCAGCCATGCCGCCGTCCTGGACTTGTCCTCGTCGTTGCTCTTGTGCGCCTCGATGAACTTTACAACACCTGGCGAATTCATGGCGACAAGGTAGTCGCGCTCGAACCTCGAACCCCACCGGTGGTTGGGAGTTGGAGGATCTGCAACGCCGACGATCTCGCGTAAGAGGGCCTTGGCTTGTGGGCTGTGCGAAAGCAGAGTGTGCAGCTTGCCCAAGAAGTCTTCCAAGTCCGGGAAGATTAGTCGCTTCCCGATGTTGTTGAACAAGTGGGAGAAGCAGGAGACGCCAAGCGACCTGCGGTAGATGTGCTGCGTCAAGGAGTCGAGAGCGAGCAGGTTGGCTGTGCAGCCGTCGAGCATGAAGCCGATGCAGCGTGACGCCTTCAGGCAAAACTCTTCGCTCAAGGTGTCGTTGACCTGGCCGACGATGTCTCGAGCCGACATGGACTTAGTCAGCATCTCAATCTTGAGGACATGCTGCACCACCTGCTGCCAGGAACCGAGGGAGAGCGTGGGGTGGTTGGGAGCGGGGGGAGGCGCCGGGGATATATGTCGTGACAAAATAGTTGAGATTGAGATTGAAAAGCACAGATGAAACCTTGCCATTTTGTGCTGGCGCGATGTGCTGACTGCTGTGCTCGGCGTATGCATGCGATAACGGCGCGGCGGTGTGTAAAATTCAATGCGAATCATTTTCTCTACCTGGCCTTTCTGGTCGATGAATCGTAGCTCGATGCCGAAGCACTCGCAACGGTAGGGCGTGGGGTCGAAGCACACGGTGTAATTCCCGTCCCCAAGCTCCGACAGGGCCGTGTCAAGCTGACGATAGTCAAGAATGCAGTAGGAAGTAAAAAGACAAAAAGAAAGCGGAACTGAATTTTTAGGGTTGAAAAGATGCACGTCGTGCTAGGGCATTATCCAGGAGGCTGAGGCAGTCGAATGCGGTTTGCGCGCAACACGCAACTCCCCCCCCCCTCAAAAAAGTAAAAACACAGCTACCTAGCGCCATTCAGTTATCCAGTACTGGTACAACAGTTTAAACCGACTTCATAATAAATTTTGGGCATGAAAGGGGGTTAGAGCAGTCGAGCAGCGATACCGCACCTCTGTGCGCAGCAGGACCGGGATGTGCTTGGCGAGATGACTGTCTCCCGGCATGCATATGTTCGCGAAGTCGAAGAAGACCTTCATCTGCGGGTCGCCAAGGGCATGAAGCGGGATGCCTGCCGACAAACATCCAGTCGCCAACTTCACCTGCAGGAGCTTGTCACGATTACTCAGGGTGTCACCGTACCAGCCCTCCTTGTCTGTCGACATGATTCCGAAGGCACGCAGCGCGCCCTGCAATATTACGAGTGTCGGCAAGGCAGTAGGAAAAGGGCGAAAATGTGCTTGTGGTCCGCTGTATTTTTTCACCTGGCATGTTGTTGTTTACGGGAAATGCGTTTGTCACACTAACACCGAACATGGATCAGTGTACAGGCGACACACTGCACTGCAGGAACACACGACAGAGTACTACAGTGCCGGCCCACTCGTAAGAACACCCTCGTAAGAAACCGAGGCTCAGATTTTTGGGTTGCTTATGAAAAAGCGTTTAAGAAATTGAGCTACTTTGACGGAGAGTGATAAGAAACGGACTGATAAGAAACAGCACAATTTCGACTTCCTAGACATCAGAAACAGATGATCCAAGGTTGGTCGCAGGAAAGAAACGGCGTCCACGCGCATACAATGGGCGTGGGCCTTCTTCCGCCGCAGGAGGGTATGATCTCCTTGAGACCGCGTCGGCGGACCCCCCAGAAGCGCCGCCACCGCTCACAAAAAAACTCGTGTTCTTCATGCACAAGGAAAAGGCAATGCCGCTTTCAGACGCATCCATCGGCAACCTCGAGAGGTTGTCGAAGTTTGTTGATGCCGGCTACATCAAGGAGAGCAGCCACAAAGATTCCATCAAGAAGCACGTGATGGCCAACAAGCCCATCGATGACAAGTTCTGGTCGCATGTGGAGCGCATGGCCAACTTGCTGTCCAGCGGCATGTTTACGGCGGAAGACTACCGAGAGCAGCTAGATGCAAAAGTTGCAGACCTTTTGCGAGACGGAGCACCACGGTCGGCAGCGGCGGGCGGAGAAGCATGGGTTGGTGGGTCGCAGGTGGTGTGGACTCCTAGGCCCGCACAGAAAAAGGGCAAGCGCACGGCCAACGAAGCGAGGGCGGCGGCGAACACTATGCACGAGAACATCGTCACTGCTGGGCCGCAGCAACAAACAAGCCGGTGAGTTGGTTGGAGATTCCGTTTGCATCCTTTGGCCATGTTCGTGAATGACATGTGTTTGTCCGGTGCATCACCTGTTTCATCTCCCTCGCCCGCATTGTTCGCCGGCAGAGAAAATAAAGCACGAAAATATTCTGCGGAGGATTCTTTCGGTTCACCATAGAGTTTGCGGACGCTGTTTCGAATCCTGGCAGTGCCCTTTTTTTTTTACTCTCGTGTTTTTTGTCAACTTTTTTTTCTGCAACACTTGCAACTGGTGTCGAAGTGTGCCAATCTGGCCGGCAGAGAAACCAAAACACGAAATTTTTGCGGGGGTTTGTTTAGGTTCACCATCGAGTTCGAGGGCGCGGTTTTGAATCCTGGCACTGCCCGTTGTTTTGCTCTCGTGTATTTTTTCAACTTTTCTTTTCAGCGGCACTTGCTGCTGTTGTCGAAGCGTGCCAATCACGTGCCGCTGCCGTTGAAAATGTCTGTTGTAAATTACTTTGAGGGACAGTTGACAAACATTTTTTGCTGCACTCTAAAATCCTCGTACCCCGGGCCTCGCTTTGCTGCTTTTTTCTCGCAGATCACGCGTACCCGCAATGGCATCGTGGAGGAGGTCACCCGCGTCCACTATCCCATCGCGCCACCTCCTCCCAAGTTGAAGTGCCTGTACTGCCCGAAGACCTTTGTCTCCGAACAAGGTCGATCGCTACACTGTAGTGCCGTGCACCCAGCTCCTCTTCGGCATCTTGGACGAGGGCTCAGGCGCGCCCTCGCGACGGGTGGGACCATGACGACTCCACCTTGGCACGGGTATTCGGGCAGGTGATTGAATGTCGTCTTTCACCACTCAAGAGGGAGGCGGGCACACCACTGCGGCGGGCCAGAAAATGTACCACGTGCGAGGGAGCTGTTCGTTTGAGCTGCAGCCAAGGACCCAAGGCGATGGTACATCAGACTTGCCAGATGACGGCCTTTTGTCGGACGAAGAACGCACCAAGCGGAAGAAAACACGAGGGGCTGAGAAGAGGACGCAGTACAGCAACAGGAAGAAGGCTGCGGTGGTCGCGGAGCTGCGAGAGCTGGAGGCCGATCACGCCGAAAAGATGTGGCATGTTCAAGGCGTGTCGTGCCAGCAGTTCCTGGCAAGGAAGACGGGCATTCCCCAACCCAACATCTGCAAGTGGAACGGTGACGCAGAGAAGCTGATCGCAGCCGCGGCCAATGACTTGAAGAAAGACCTTTTCAAGACTGGCAGGGAGAGGAGGTGGTTCGGAGACGCAGAGGAGAAGCTGCACTCGCTGCTGCTGCAACGGCGCAAGAGGAAGCTCAGAGTGTCGACAGCCTGGATTCGAGTCAACGCGAGAAAGCTCCTAGTGGCAATGTATCCGGACGACCCGCGTGCAAAGAACTTGTCAGCGTCGGACCGGTGGTGCAGGAAGTTCGCGAAGCGCCACCATCTCTCGAAACGAAGGCGCACAAACATGAAGAACAAGTCGGTGGAGGACCGTCTTCCGCAGACGAAGAGCTTCCACAGGAGGCTGCGCCAGCTGCTGCAGGAACCACCCATTCGCCGGGCCGCTGCTGGGGGCGCCGCCGAGAACAACGGCGCTGCGATCGTTCCTGTGGAATCGCCCCTCTGCG